TTAAATGAGCTAACATATCTCCACCTTTCAGAAGACGTGCTCTAAACCGTTTACGTGTAAGATGTATGTGTGCACCTACACTGTCACAAACATAAATCCTCTTCAAATTCTCCCAACACTTAGCACCAGACTCTTCTCCACGAATATGGACTAGCTGCTGGTCACTCAGTGTTAGTCCAATTATACAAAGAGCTCATTCATTGTTCTGTTTAAAGTCAGCAAGCTTCTTGGCATCGTCCTCATTTTCTGGATCCCAAGCATTTACATCCGGTGGGTCTTGAACTACATTCCATAACCCTTCTCTACGCAGAAGTAGACTGCACTTCATAGACCATGAAACATAGTTTGTTCCATCCAACTGGGTTATCAGTGATAGACATGTTGAAGTGACTTGTGCCATCTTGACCAGGATAGTAAACCACAATTAAACAGTAAACAGCTGTCTGTATACAGTACTGTGCATTCACACTAACTCTCAGTTATCTGAGCCTGGTATGGCCTGGGCCCATAACCAGTGTTGAGGTAATTCCCCGTTAGGAGAATGAGCGCATACAGGGAGACGTATTTGAGAGAAGTGTTTGAATAATACACACACAGTACACAGATACACTGTACAGTAAATGTAGGTTTTTACTTCCAGAAAGGTTTTAGCAAAGTCCAAAATAGGCAGTCCAAAGTCATTCACAGGTAAAATCAGTCAGTTTTTCAATCCAGGGATAATCCAAATATTAAAGTCCAGTGTCAGAAACAGTTCAGTATCAGACTTACATTAAATCCAGTAATATCAGTCAATTAGAAGAAATGGAGCAACGGCAATACTTTCCAACAGAAGAAAACAGAGATACTCAGACACACTCTCTTCTGAGACTAAGACTAAACAAACCCAGGTTTCTGGCTCCATCTTATGGCCGTTTGAAAAACCACACCCAATTGCAGTTTTTGCAATCTCTTAAAGACATAGTACTAAAATGTTTATCCTGGTTTATATATTTCAAACCCAAATAGCTGTTAGGTGACTTATATTCCTAACAAGGTGTACTTAGTTTTTCCCACATGGCTTCTCCCTTTTGGCTTTCTTTTTGTGAAATAAATGATGACATGGTGTTATAGGTCATGTGTTGTTGTTCATCTGAGGTTGTATTTGCCTACTTTTAAGAACCGCTAAGGACCAGATGATTTTCACTATGTCCTGATGGGTAAAACCATAGAACTCAAAGAGGGTGTACTTTCTTTTTCACATGACTGTACATTGGAGGTGTCTGTCTGGACAATGTATTTGATGGGTTAGGGTTCAAATGCAGACTGTTTTTTTTTCTGTCCAAGCAAATTTTACTTTCTTTTTCAATAACTGAGTGAAAAGCTTAACCTTATTTACAAACGTTGGAATAAACTTTCTATAAAAGCTTGTGAAATCTAGAAAATGCTGAACCTCATTTACATGGGAGGGTTCCAGGAGAGCACTACATGCACCTTCAGGGGATCCATCTGTGGAAATGCGGTAACCCAGGAAATTAACTGCTTTAAGTCAGATGCACATTTCTCCAGTTTAGCAGTGGCAATTTTTTCATAGTCTGTTCAAAACCTGTCAAATATGGTGTTCATGAAATTTCTCAAGAGCAGATTAGGATATCATCCAGTTAAATCATCACAAACTTGTCAATTACATATGAAAAAAAATGTTCATAAGTCTGGAAAGTAGTGCTCCACAATTGACCAAGCCAAAAGGCATCAGTGTACCTGGTATTTGAATGTTGTCATTCATGTCCTCCTTTGACTCTAATGAAGTGATACACATTTCTGAGGTCTACCTTGGTAAATATGCATGCATTCTAAATCCAATATAAGGGCAATAATGGCCCCTCACTGTGATCCTGTTCAGATCTTTGTAATCATGGACTGTGCACAAGGGGAGTTCACCGCTGGGGTTAGGAATGTTTGAGTCTTGCTTCTTGGGGACAAAATATGTAGGACCTGAAGCTGGCAACTTAGAAAGTCTAATAAATCCTTTCTGCAAATTGGACGCCAAATATATTTCAGAATTCACAGCTTCTTTGCTGATATGGGATACTGCCTCTTAGCAGGAATTTTAGCTCTGTGATCAAATTGATCACACACACAGTTTCCATGCAGGGGAAGGACTGATGGCTCCCTCACCCAATGGGCTTTTGGCAATCTGCTGCAAGTTGTTACTTGCATGTGATGGAGCTGGCAACCCAGAAAGAGGAAAGATAGTTCCTCTTTCCCAGTCTATTGCAGGATTGTGAAATTTCAGCCATGAAGACCCCAAGATGATTGGGACATGAAGGTTGTGTGTTACATAGAGTCAAAAACTTGGCATGCTCCCATATTGTTAGTTGCAGTGGTACTATTTTCAACAGGGAAAATTCTGTGTAGCAAGACCTTGGGCTTGGTTCCTTTGGCTGCCCAAGCTCCCATTGTATCTCTTCCAAGTGTGAATCTATGAGCACACAAAGCTGGTACAACTGGTTCAGGTTCCAAGGCACTCCTTGACTCACAGGTTGTCAGAATACTCATGAACTGGCAGAGACCTGGTAACAAGGTCAGCCAATGAATAGGCATGGCAACTGGGTCAGCCAATGAAGGCTGTTTTGGAAACAGAAACTTAAGGAAGGAGTCTGGGCGTGGCTTAGCTTTGTGCTCAGCTCTAAAACGAAACTAGACTGGACTTGTCTGTCTGCTGAACTAAAACTAAGAACTTACAATGTCTCCTCTCTACCACATTGGAAGAATCTGCTGTTGGTATTGTAATTTTACTTCATATGTTATTATGTATATAAAGAAGTTAATGAATCCTACAGATGTGTGTGCTTTCTGGATTTGATTTTCTGCAACAGACTCTGACACAGGTTTGGTCCAGATTTGAGTGTCTACATCCTGTGTAAATTGGTTAATTAAGACTGCTTCATTCCAATCCATATCAGCTGCTACTAATTTGAATTTGGCTATATACAGTCTGACCCTTCAGTTACCCTGCCTGAGCTGGTGAATCCTGCAGCTAATGTTCACATCTCATATCGTTCTGGTAATTATCCCTGACTGCACTGTTGCCTTCAATGATTGGAAGTGCCCACTGAACTGCTGACTCCATTAACAAACTCAGCACGAAGGACACTCTTGAGCAGTCCATTGGAAACTCTGCTGCTCAGTCTCCCATAAACAACTCACTTTGAGCTGTGTAGGTTCTCATCTCTTCCAAATTTTACTGGCAAGCCTCCATGTCACCACTGCAAAACCAGCTGTACAACTGGAGCTGCTTGCAGCTCAGGGACAACCATAGCTGCTGCAACTGAAGCAGCATCACTGCCTGGTTCCACATCTCAGTCTCTATGCCATCCTGTTGTCATAGAACAGTATCCACCATGCCTTGTTCTGCTGCCACTCCTGCCTGAGGGTCTGTGACTGGTGAGAATATCAGGCATGAACAAGACCCAGATGTGCAGAGTTCAACCAAACTACTCTTATTACATTCTGCCTATAATACAGGTATCTTCCCGGGTCTGACAGCCTACTCCTGGGAACAATCAGTTAAGGCTCTAAGGAACCTATCTAGGGTCTGCCCTAGCCTTTTTGCGGTTGTGCAGTGACTCCAGGGTCACTCCACTCTTGATCCCTCCTTCCTGCCTGGCTGGATGCTTCTCAACAACTAGGGCAAGCTACTGCATATAAACAGGGAGCAAACCCCACACTGATGATCTATGAAACTCCTGCAAGGAAATAAGCTGTCAGGATTCCAGCAATCGCCCTAATTAAATCATGAGCCTTGAGCCAAACTTCAAAAAACTTCAAAGAATTCATTAGGAGCGACATACTGGCATGGCCTGTATGAAGCCGATTCTGGCATGTGCAATTACAGTCACCTGTGACCCTGCTTCCTCCCTCCCCCGTGTGCCATAAATCAGTACTCCAATTAAGCATGTACACAGACTAGGTGTCATCCATCACATTCTCCAATTAGTTTTTCACAGGCAAAAGCTCCAGTACAATCTTTTTTAAGATAAGGTTGGAATGTGCTTCTAAGTTCATTTGCCATATGCTTCTCCAGTCTGAGAAACCCCCCCCCCCTCTTTCTTATGGCAACTTGGAAACAAGTGCAGGAATGTTTTACAAGTTGACACAACCAAGATCAAAGAGTATCAATGACTCCACAGTTCAACCCTAAATTCAACAGCACATATAACAGAATAATAAGAGTTGGAAGGTGTTAAGGTATTACGATTTAAGAACTGACCAGCAGTGAATAGCTGCTAGATGCTGTGAAGCTGATGTAATATAGGCTGATGTAACAAGAGTGATTCAGCATAGTATGAGTATTTTCCCTTTAAGACTGGAGAGTAAAGAGCCCTTAAGAGGTGTGTATATAAAAGGCAGCCATTAGAGAGTGTGGTTCTCTTTCCTTGTGACCAGTATTCAGTGCAGAAGTTCTCAGTGTGTTAAGAGGAAGAAAGTTTGCTTGAAAGGTATTTTACCTACCATGTGTATTGTCTGTATATAACTCTTGTATATAAACCACTGTTAATGTCTATGGCTCTGTGTGCTGTGTTTTGCATCTGGGTTATCTCATAAAGGTAGTCACGCTGCCAAACAATCTGACAGAAGGGACCTTGGAGGTCTTCTAGTCCAACCCCATGCTCAAGCAGGCGACCCTATACCATTTTAGACAAATGGCTGTCCAGTCTCCTCTTGAAAACTTGCAGTGTTGGAACATTCACAACTTCTGGAGGCAAGTTGTTCCTCTGATTAATTGTTCTGTCAGGAAAGGATGTGGTATTACAATATGGCAGAGCATTCATTACAGCTGTATCACAGTTTATTTCCAGAAATGAAAAATTAGGAAAAAGAATCGACTGGATTTAAACCTCTAATTTTCCATAATATTATATAAGGGTAGGTATTGTGTTCTCATCCTCTGCAGAATAAAATTCTTGCTTTTCTTCAGCCTAGTGTCCAGTTTCTGGCAATGTCTTACACCTGAATGTTACCTACTACTAAGGCCTGCTACCAGCTATTCAATTCATGCTGATTCTGCTGGGATTAGATACAGCCTTTGACCTTACAAAATCACAGCCTCAGATGTATGGCCTCAGATTTTCTTCCAATTAAAAGTTTTCCTTTGCCTATATTTTTTCTCTTAGCATATTTGCATGTAGAACCCAACATTTAATAATATAGAGAAGTGATAAGAATCACATTCTTAAATTCACTTTTACATGCTGAATTTTAAGATCTGAGTTTTTGTACTATTTTTCAGTTCAGAATGTTAATTCAAGTGATCTTTCCATGGAATATAGAGTTCAATGACAGACACAAGCAGTTTGCCCTCAGCATATCAACATGTGTATTTCCTTGTTGTATTGTTACTTTGCATTAAATTCCCAGCTCCAAATTCAAGAACTCTTAACAAATGATAAATATTAAATTCTGAACAGCTGTATTTGTACAATTTAAATTTATTTTGAGAATAAGAATTTCTGATTATACTACTAAATAGAACCTGCTCCATCTTAATTTTTATATTATACAGATTCGTCTGAACAGACCAAATATTTCTTATAGCTAGTCAGTTAGGCTTGTTCTGATTATGGGGTAGTAAAAATAGGAGGAATTCTTTGCAGGTCAGCTTAGTGTTTAAAGCAAATTTCAATTTCCTCTGAGCAGCACTTGAGTTTATTTTATCATGCACCACTGAACAGTGTATGTAGGGTACAAGGGTTTTTTCCTCCAAATGTTTTTTTCCTTCCAATCTAATATTGTTTTAATTAAACTGAAAATCTAGGAAAACTCTGGTTTAAGATTACATACCAAATTGTGCTGTAACTGAACAAACGGGACAACAGGTTTTTTTAAAAAACCAGAAATATGAGAGGCTATTAAAATAGTAGCTTTCTACTGAAAATACAACATGCAAGCATTGACATGTACCAGATCTCTTCATTCATGAGGTTCAACGAAAATCTACTTGTTTAAAAAATGAACAAAAACATGAATTACAAAATCTTTTACCACTCTGGGATTCCCATTAATTTTTGCTTAAAGATATTAAAGTACATAAAACTACAACAATTACATCTGGAATATTACAGTAAGAGATGAAAATGGGTATTTCAAAAGAAAATACATCTAAATGAACCTGGGGATATTTTAATTAGGTATTAGATAATTCTAGGGGTCCTACAGGAAAAGCTAGGATTGGAACATGCTGTTTAAAAATGGTATTTGCTCTGTAACTGGCTTTTCTTCTTCAGTAACGCCCTGAAAGAAAAAAAAGAATACTGTAACTATAAATTCATACTTCTGCATCAGCTTCCACATTAAGTTCTCCTTCCTTCCAGCATAGAATATTGTATTGCCATTTCATATCTCACTATACTAAGTGTGCATATTTACTGTATAATATAATTACGCTTACTTGGACTGTAGGAACGAGATCTTGATCTTGATCTGTAACGACTATAGTATGGTGAAGGTGAGCGCCTCCTTTGAAGAAAATGCAAAATATTTCTGTTGATAGTGGCTCATTCCAATGATCATACAATTTAACAGTTCACAGATATATACAGTGGATATAATTGTAAGAAGTCTGCACACCCATTAAAATGCCAGGTTTTTGAGATGTAAAAAAATCAGGCCAAGATAAATCACTTCACAATTTTTTCTGCCTTTAATATATAGAATAACTCCCTGCTCAAGCAGGACACCCTATACCATTTCAGAGAAATGGTTCTCCAATCTCTTCTTGAAAACCCCCCGTGATGGAGCACCCACAACTTCTGAAGGCAAGCCGTTCCACTGATTGTTCTCACTGTCAGGAAATTTCTTAGTTCTAGGTTGGATCTGTTTGATATGTTTCCATCCATTACTTCATGTTTTCCCCTCGGGTGCTTTGGAGAATAGGTTGTCCCACTCTTCTTTGAGACAGCCTCTCAAATATTGGAAGACTGCTTCCATAGCTTTTGTCAGACTTGATGTAGGTTTTTGCAAAATATAGCCAGGCTTGGATGTTTTTGTTTGTAAGTAAAGGCTTCCGTCTTGCTACCCTACCCCACAGCCCAGACATATGAAGAATACAGGAGATTGTTGTCACATGATAGTACACAAACAGTACTTGCCAAAAAATCCTGCAACTCCTTTAATGTTGCTGTAGGCCTCTTGGCAGCCTCTCAGACCAGTTTTCGTGTTGTGTATTCATCAATTTTAGAGGGACACCCAGTTCTTGGTAATGTCACTCTTGTGCCATATTTTCTCCACTTATTGATAACTGTTTACTTTGTGTTCCATGGTATAGCCAATACCTTGTAAATTGTTTTGTACCCTTCTCCTTACTGATACCTTTCAACAATGAGATCCCTTTAATGCCTTGTAAGCTCTTTGCACACTCTAGCTTTTGCTGTAAGAGGCAACTGAGTAAATGTCAGAAAAATCCTACTAGAACAGTTGAACTTTATATGAGCTTGATCAGTCACTTTAGTTGATGGCAGGTGTGTACTGACTACTATTTAACATCAGTTTGAATGTGATTGGTTAATTCTGAACACAGCCACATCCCTACTTATAAGAAAGAGGGAGTGGACACTTAGGCAACTATGTCAGTGTAATGTTTTTTATTTTTATTTTTTCCCACTAAAAGATTTCAGTTTGCTTTTCAATTGAATTGTACAGTTCATATGTTATATTAAAAGTAGAAAAAAATCTGAAGTGATTTATCTCTGTCTGATTTTCTTTACAACTCAAAAACCTGGCCTTTTAACAGGGCTGTGTAGAATTTTTATAACCACTGTACTTTAATGAGGATTGAAGATATTCATTAATTGACATTTTTAGGGCTTACAATGTGGAAGAACAGTTATATATACACATACATATAAAGGTAGTCCTTGCTTACTGACTGCCTCATTCAATGACTGTTTAAATGCTGTGTCCCAGTGGTCACATGACTGCAATTTGGGAAATTTGCAACTGGCAGACATTTATGAAGGCTTCAGTATCCCAGGGTCACATTGACATTTGTGACCTTCAGTTAGTTTCTGACAGGCAAGGACAATGGGGAATCCAGCAGGAAGTTGTGGTCATGTGATGTTAGGTTTAATCATTTACTCAGGGATGGAATTGCTGGTCCCAATTGCGGTTGGTAGTGAGGACTTCCTGTTGTGGTCCACTGGCGGCCTGCGGAGCTGGCAGCAGAGTCAGACAGTGGGGAGGAACATGGGCCAGTTCTGGAGTCTGGGGAGGGCTCGGACGAGGAAGTTGCGTCCGACACAGAGATGGGGCCAGGGCCAGCTGAGAGTTATGTGCTGACTCAGAAGCCTCCAGAATCTGACATCAGCGAGGCAAAGGAACAGGGGAAGCCTGTTCCCAGTGCGTGCTTGTGCAGAGCTGCCAGAAGGCAAGAACAGTTAAGACAAAAGGGACAACTCGGGAGTAAGGCTTGGAGATGATTGGCCCCTCCCACAAGACATAAAGGAGGAGCAAAGGGACATGAACCTTTGCAGGAAGCAACTTTGTTCCGGTTGGTTTAAACTCTGTAGCTCCATGTTGACCATGCTCCGTTTGGCTTTGTACAGCTAATTGGCAATTTAGTCGTTGGCAGCATTTCAAGGGAGATAAAGGTGGGTGCTTATCAGCCTTATCCCGAAAAACTGTAGCAGACTTCTGTTGGACTATTCATAAACTGTTTGGGACTCATTACGGGCTGTGAATGCATATAATTCACAGCCGTTGAAATAAAAACAAAGGTTTTTGGGAACAGCGTGTGATTGATACTGTCTGAGGAAGCCTTGGTCAGAACACCTGTGTTGGTTTGTGGGACAGCACTCTACATGTATCATCTGCTTAGCACAAATCCATATTCTATTTTTAAATAACATCCTAACATGTAGGTTACCATGGCACTATCTTTTTGTGCACAGTAAGTTCCAAATTGGCTTATTTGCCATCCAAGCTCTCTCTAAGACAGGGCTGTCAAATTCCCGACGCGTGGGCCAGATGTGTCACACGCTGGCCATGCCCACAACCAGTTTAGCGAAGGTGAAAAAGTCCCGATATGTCACGTGACGTCACCATGGCATCGTAAGCTTGACACCCCTGCTCTAAGACATTTTCTTCCTAAACCAATTTTCTTCCATTCCTATTTCATTATTATTACCTATACAATACAATATACCTTTCCTGATTTTAGAGTGATGCAATTACACTGACAGAAAAATATTACAACGAACTAGTATTAACTATTTTTGTAGGGCTCCAATGAAAACTTTATACTGAATTGTACAATAATCCTCTCCTATGATCCTGTTTTTTCTTTTTTCTTTTCCTTTTTATGTGCCAGGCAGAATCAGAGGCATAGCACCCATAGAAAATTTTAAATGGTGGGGAAAAAAAACTGTGCTTCTTTTTCCTATTTTGTTGGAAATAGACAAGGTCACCTTACCCTTTTCCCCCTAGCTATTTTATATGACTGCTTTTATTGTTGTATACCAAGTATCTTAAAATATTCAATATTCAATATATCATACTAAAAGCAGCCAATAAAGTGGATAAAAATTGTTGTTACTACAGGTAGTCATCAATTTACAACAATTGAGCCCAACATTTCTGTTGCTAAGCGAGACAGTTAAGTGAATTTTGCCGTTTTATGACCTTTCTTGCCACAGTTGTGTGATATATAATTTGCTATACTTATTCTTGTAAAAATAAAATATGTAGACTCCATATTTAGCCTTAAAATGAACTAAGATAGCATGTTAAGTAATAGTCTCTATTTTTCACAAAAACATGTTTGTTCTCAATGTTGCAAGAACATATTTTGGCAGAGCACATAAAAATTGCTGGCAGGTCATAGGGGCTTTTGGAGGGTCACGATATTTAGTTTTAAGTTAGAAATAAATAATGTCAAAGGATGTGGGGTATGCCAAGTATTATATAAATTACTGGAATTAAAGGGGAAAACCATGTAGGACAGACGTTCCTGGAAACAGACTCATACCCCACCTCTGATCTTGACCAATGAGAATGTGATAACTGTCAGCTTTAAAATTCAGCTGCTACATTTTTTTTTAAAGAGAGTTGGAGGAGTTGAAAAGTTCAAGGTTATTCTGTATGTCGTATTAAGAAATTCCAGTGGCAGTTAATTGGTTCTTGTGATTTATGAAGTGTAGAAGTGGGAGGAGAGAAGGTGGATTCTGTGTAATGCGCGAAAATATTTCACTTGGGAAATTGCCTTTGACATGCCAGAACTGTTTCTAAATAAATCAATTGAAGAGAAATGTCTCGGAGTGATTGATATCATGGATACTTTCTGGATGCCTTACAATAACAGGAAGTAACAGATGTTAGGCTTTTGAAACTGTATAAAAATCTCTATTGTATCACTGGAAACTTGTCTCTCACTATCTCCCACAAGGAGATTGAGAGTCCGCCTTTGCAAACGCTTAAATATATATATTAATAAACAGCTCTGTATTTGTTCATATATCTCTTTGTCATTTTGACTTTATTTTTATCACAATTGATGGCACCCGAACAGGGACTTGAAATGAAGACTCTTTTTCCTTCAGAGGATGACAGAATGTACATCTGGTAGGCACCAACGCTGATTTCAGCGTCCAGGTGTGATTTCTCGGACTCAGAAGGAAGAAAGCTCTTCACTACCTGGATGGAGACCTGTGAACAAAGGGCTGAACAACCCAAAAGTGATATTGGTGCACCATCGCCCATGTGAGTATTTTTTTTCTTTTTAAAACATTAAATGTATTTGGCGTTGAAGGGTCTCACTGGGTGATTTATAACTCCTTGAATGAATGGGCTGTGTGTGTTTTAAACAGTGTTAGGGAAAGAAGCCAGATGTGCTGGATGAGTGAAGTATTTTTCTTTCTCTAAGTTCAAGGAAGGAGTTTTGGGTTGTTAAGATGGGGGCCCGAAATGGGGTGTTTATGTCTAAGACTGCTAAGACAAACACAGAAATCCATTCTATTCCGCCAAATTCTCCACTGGGAGAGCTTCTTATCCAATGGAAAGAGCCTTGGATGAGTGCTTATACAAGACATTTAAATAAGGTATTTATGATAGAATATTGTACTGGCATTTGGCCAGAGTTTATTTTAGTTGCTCCAAATTATAGATGGAACAAATATGGTGAATCTGATCTTTATTAGATTAATGCCTTAAAAAGAGTGTTGTTAAAAATGAAATTGGAAAAACAATATATGTGGAGCCCTGGTTCCATGTACAATGGTCAGATCCTCTCCCTCCTCAAACAAAAAAATTATTGGATGAGAAGGAAGAGGATGATCAAAGGTGGGATCCGCTTGCATATGCCAGCTGCCCACATCCTCCTCCTTATAATCAAGGAGCAGATGCATTTGCCAATGGGTCTGTGGGAGGAGAAATTTCAGCAGCAAACAATATCAGAAGTTAAAAAGGGAATTGGATGCAATTGAAGTAAATGCTGAAAGTCAGCCAACTACTTCTTCAGGGGCTGT